CCCAGCCACAGGCCCCTGCCTGCCCCCACCCCCAGTTCCTCCCTTCCCTAGAACCTCTGCCCCTCCTCTCCACAACCACCTCCCTCCAGCCCCCTACCCTTGCTTTAGTGCTGACAGGTTCTGTCCCTGGTACAGCCTGTGGCACAACACCAGTCTAGCCCCATATCAGCAGTACAGGGCCAGCACGGTGGGTTCTGGGCAAAGCTGGGGTGGAGCTGGCACTAGATGGAAAGGAGAGAGGGGTGCAGAGAGGGAGACCATGGACTGAGGCTTCAGGGGCAGTGGGGAAGCAGGCAGCAGCTGTGACTCCAGTCCTGACCTGCCCCCACTGTACTCAATTCCAAGACAAGGGACCTCCCCCCTCCCCATGTTAAATGAGGGGAAAAACTTTGCCTTGGAATCAAGAAACTACATACAGTAGTACTATGACTTAAGGATGAACCAAAATGTTTTTAACAGCAGAATTTCATTTCGAGAATGGCAAGGAAAACTCCACTGGTAATATCAGTGGAGAGTGTGAGTATGAGTAGTAGACAATTGAAAAAGAATACATTATGCTATCTAGGGAGTACGCTATAAAAAGTGGGGAGTCATTTCTTCCGTTAAAAACTAAATAGGAGGAAGTAATGTTTAGCATTTTTAATCAATTAATGCCACTGGCTAAGTTCAGACATGCAGCAATTGAGTGGTGTGCAAAAGCACCCAGATACACAATTATTCTCCTTTTTCAATCTTCATGTGAAACAAGCAATGGCACTGAATTGCATGGAGACCTAAAACCACAGGATTTAAATCACTAAACCCTCCCCCCTCACAACCTAAACCCAACAACTCAAATACAACATTTAATCATATAAGATATTCTTATTCATGCTAAATAGGAAAAGTAATCACACCTCTTGTTTTCCATCTTCACTGGTAAGCAAGACTGGTCGACCTATGCATATATTGGCAGATTTCATAGTGTTGAGTCCTAGTTGTACAAGAGTGCTCCTGTATGTTTTAGGAATGTTTTCATCTTCTAAAATTTTAGGAGAAAAATGTGTCATTATTCTACAGGTCAGATCATTTTGCAAACAAAACTCCCTATTCACATGAAGCAACTACAGTATGAAGAATGACAATCAAAACAATTCTTTGCACTGAAGAAATTTACATGCTTGTTCAATATCCATGTCCATTCAATTTTGGTGCCACTCTTTCTTACCACTAAAGCATGAATCACTGGGGATTTCTGTGGTATAAGCAGATATCTCCAATTTACTTCATAAAGGCCACTAAACATACGCACCACTAAAATGACAGATGCTGGAGATATGTTTACTCTTCTTTGTTTTCTTTCCCACTAACATTGATGAATAGTACAGAAGTACTGCTTATGCAACTCTGATTCAGTCAATCACAGTGGTTCTCAAAATTTTTTGGACTTGAGGCACCCCTTGTTGACTGGAGGCACTCCTCAGTAACTTCTGTGAATTGAACAGAATGCAATTTCAAAAACTAATTTATATATTACAGTGCTTATCTCCTTGCAGAGGGCCCAGTCAGTGGGCAGGAGGGATCAGCCAGGGATGGATAAGCACCTGAGTCCTGCCACCCTGGTTGAGAATCACTAGTCTGTCAGATGCATCTCTACCCTGCCTTCTGCCCAACTTCAGATTAACACAGTTAACTACTTCACATTCTTTGGTATGGCTCATTTAGATTTCTGAACAGGCATCAAACAGTTTTGGTCACAACCAATTTGAACCAGAGACATAAGCAGAAAGGGCTATCCAACTACCAGTCTACACTCAACCAATGTCGTAGCAGCTGGACATTAAAAAATAAACAGCACAGCACCAGTGCCTCTTTGGAGAAATATTTCTACAGCAGGACAATAACATCTAGGAAGCTGTGATAGTCTCATAATTAGGGATCCTGGTATTCTCTGATTAAAAATCGCAAATTCTCTGATTAAAAACCCAAAATCCATGATAAAAATTAAAGGCCCCCCACAGCTGCACCCCCCCCAGCACTGCTGGTGCCCCTCACTCTGCCCCCAGTCTCAACAGCACTCCTGATGCCCCTTGCAACAGCCCCCCAGACACAGACATGCAGACACAGACACTGACACCCACCCCAGCAGTGTGTGTGGGGGGAAGGGGC